AACCTGGACAGCATTTTATATAAGTGCTTGTGATAACTCTGTTTCAATTAAGATTTAATGCTTGATATTATAACATACATTTTTATTATTTTTGGCAAATCATAAACATTTTTAAAACTATTTGAAATATATTATAAGTTGAAAAATGTAATATAATTAGTATTAGGTATAATTTATAAATAACACAAATTTATTAAATCAACAAATATATTATCCTTACTTTAACTTTACTGATATTAAAATCATTAATTAACTTTATTTAATTAATAACAGATTTACTAACTTGAGTTCAAAAATACATTGATTCTTTCTCAGCCTTATTTACACTATTTAATGGATCACACACCATTATAATATTTATTTTTACTTTGAATATTTGTATGTATTTTTACATATCTTAGGGATAAATCATAAAATTTGAAATATCTAGTTATATTAAAGAAAATAAAATTATGTTAAATAAATTATAACCATGTAATCATTTGAATACATAAAAAATATGTAGTTATACATTTTGTTTATAATATTTATTATTATATATAATATTTTCTTTGGATAATAATTTATTTAATTATTTAAACAAATATGTAATATGTATTTAGTATTATTTATCGTTATACTCAATAATTAAAAATAAGTTCAATAATTATTCATTAATTATTTTACATAGTTACATTATATTATATTATATTATAATTAAAATATTGTAATTTATATAGGTACTACCTTTACCGTGTCGTAGATGAAAAATGTTAATAGCTAAATACTGTACACACACGTTTATATAAAATATACACAAATTTTGCTTAGTAACGTATTGGTCTATCAGTGAATGAATGAGGAAAAGGAATGAAAATAATAATCTGAAATTGATCTGACAAAATATCCTCTTATATATATATAATGGACTAAATATCTCTATAGTCAAATGTTCTTCCAACATTAGTTAGTAAGTCTAGTATTTAAAAATACATACAAATATTAAAAATTAAAAATAAATATTATAAATGGTTGTGGTGCATTTTAATGAATCAAATAAAGTAACTGAAAGTTAATGATTTTAGAACTCACAAGTAATATTTTTGATGATTAAATTAAAAATTAAGTTAATAGATTTTTAATATATCAATTAAGTTTAAATAGTATAACATTTGTTGATTTATATATGTATTGATTTATTTTATGAATATTAATACTTTCAAATACTATTATTGTTTCTCCAAAATTCTTTATATTTTGTTTTGTGGAATCTATATTAGAATATGAAGGTATTCTATATTTTATGGATCCAAGTATTCTTGTATGGAATCAAATTGAGTGTTCACATATTTCTGAACTTTGCAAAATTGCGTTAAATCTATCACCAGACTTATGATATGTCGTCGTTCTGCACTAACCAAGTTTTATATATTCTACAGATATAATCTCGATAATTTCAAGTACCATTCTTGATAAAACGTCACACTTATCCCTATTTTCATGTCAATTTCTAACACAGTACTACAAAAGCATCAGTATCTGAATAATAAATCAATGACTCATCAACTTACTTTAAAATATCTTGTACACATTGTAAACATATTTAATATCGATTGAAATGGGCATGAACTATTGTTATACATCAAATATACTGGTTATAACATAGTATAAAAACTTAGTTAAAAACTTAAATATAGTAATGAGCAATAATACGTAACTGAACGAAGTACAACAGGTATTAGGTATCCAACTAGTTATCTGAATTTATGTTGGATTTTAGGGAAGTCTCATTCTAAGACTTCAATATTGCCAGAGTTGGACATCATTCAAATACAATTTTATTTAAATAGTTATTTAGATAAAAAATATAAGGATTATTACACTTCAGTATACACATTTTAATTTAATCTCCTGTATATAATATTATAAAAAACTACAAAATCTATATGTATAGGTATTATTGATTATGCATTTTTTTTCTTTACTCAAACAAGCATAAAATTTCATAGGTAACTCATGCTAATTTCATAAGTATTAAATATGTACAAAATAATTATTATTTAAGTTATAAATTAGTAAGGTACCAAGGTTAGTTTTTTTAGAATTTTTACAAGAAGATTTCCAGTTTTATCTATCACTGGTCTAATAGACATTATCGATATTTTTCCATATCATAAAATCATATGTAGAAATGAATTTAATTTGAGCTATAAAGCTATTAGTGGAATAAAGCAAAAATCTGAAACTAGAAAAAAATACATTTTCTTTTTTACGTAATAATTGTAAAAATTTAAAACTTAGACAAAAGTTATTAAACTCCAAAACAACGAGATTTAACTGGAATGTACCTAAGGATCATTTTTGCCTCATTATATTGAAGATTTTTAGACAAAAATTTGGGGACTGGACTCTAATTAATACATACTTAGCAACCCCTGTAGGAAATGCGATTAACTTTGAAAAGGAAAAAGCACTAACGACGGGGCTTAAAGCACTAACGTGCACTAACGAAGCACAAAAGATTAAAGTTTGTTTGGAGTCGAAATTCGAAATGGGGGGAGGGGTGCTGGCATGTTCCCGGCACCCCCTGTATGAAATGCGAATAACTCTGGAAGGGATAAAGCACAAACGACAGGGTTTAAAGCACTAACGTGCACTAACAAAGCACAAACGATCGCTCTGGGTTTGAATCCAAAATTCAAAATAGGGGGTAATAGTGTTGCGTCCGTTATGTCAACGTCGATACATATATCAACGTAGAAATAGAAATACTAATGTTTGCAAGTTAAAAGATTAAGTCTTTATTTAATACAATTAACTCGTACAAGAATACAATTTTATAAGCACAAGATGGTGTGAGTGGTGTTACGACCTGCCTCTGAGCGTCTCGAATATCCCTAACCGTCTGCTGAGCTCTTGCCCTGGTCTCCCTTATATATGGTTAACCGTCAAGAGTGGTGACTGGGGAGGTGGTGACTTCCAATGACCCTAAGGAGCTCACTAAATTAAATGTATTATTCAGTTGGGTGCCTTTCCTGCGATTTCATCGGTTCTACGAATTGCACGACGTGTGATCAAGTCTTAGTTGTCAAATTAAATCGTACAATGTTAACACTGTTGTTTACTCATCATTTCTGAGAAGTCCAAGACGTGTGACCATGTCTTATTCATTATATTTAATATCACGATGTGCAGGTGTTCGCCCTATCCGTTGGTGCTACACTGTTTGAATATATTATCCCATCGGTATACACATCACCTCTCCGTATAATAAATACGTGTAAAATAACACGGTACGTAACACTAGCGACATGGACCTGTGCTAGTAGCCTCCTTACGACAAACGATGAGCCAGCTGCGATATACGCCCAGGAGGCCAGGGCAAATCACGACAACCGAAGTAACACGTTTGTGCCTAACTAGTACCTACCTAAACCGGGTTAGTCACGTCTTCATAAGACAGTCTGGATGTCCATCAACCGACACCAGCGACGACTCGATCGTCTACCATTACTATGTGCACAATAACGATTAAAAACGACCTGCGATTGTTTTTTTTTCGCCTAGGTGTTTAGTAATGTCGCGCTATAATCGAATTATCACCACTATATTTTTATTAATGTGTTTTTTTGTAACTATTGTACTTATTGTAAATGTTTGTCATATTTATTGTAACGAGTATATTTCTTACCGTGATTTATTTTGTATACACCGCTCTTCCCTCCTCAAAGGCACGATATGTCGATGGTATAAGACGCAACGGGCCAAAACGGTCTCGTCCATTCGAGTTTTTAATATGTTTATGCACCTGCTCACAACATCTTCAAATAACCAAACCGCTCACCATACGCACCGTCACTAACCGCAAAATACTGTCGGCTTTTACACGACATATCGCGTGACACTCTGTGCTTCTTTCTGGTGTAAGCACAGCGTCGCATCACACTTTATTTTATTTCATACTTTGTTTATACACTGTTTATTTCTTTCGTACGAAAATATTACCAACTCGAAATACCACAAAACGATCGGTGTTATATTTATTTTACCTTATCCTAACCTTACATTCATCACACGATTTAGATCGCCTGTTGGCACAATTTATCACCTTCAACAATTGTACCACAGGTTTGTGGGTTATTATTAATTATATGGTAAGTAAGGGCATACGGTAAGTTATATTACCATTTACTATAATACATGATAAAAACACAATAAAGAAAGATAATATAAAAGTTTTTTTACCATTCAATAATTTAATAAATAGTTAAGTGTCGTTTTTTGATAAATTATTTATTTATTAAACATCTGGAGCTAACCGTTGTGAGCATATTTTCGATATATTACACTGTTTGAGATTAGGTATCAACACAGCATTTCTACAGTATTGCTATTTTATAATTTAACTAATTACTACTAAAAAAATATTATTAATAATAAGTGTACAATAGAATACGTACTAGTTAAATTATCTTCAATATATTCCAATAGATAAACATAGTATTTCTTTTGATCGCCTAAAATAAAAAATATATTAGCCTAATTTGCTTAATAAACTATTTAAAGGGCAGTTGATTCTTCAGGATTATTTATTTCAATACGATAAATTATAATTTTATATTATGATATTTGCATTTATGACCGTATATTTCAATATATATATATATGAACTCTTTTCATGTAGGCAGTTGTTGACGAGGAAAAAAACAAGATTATGAACAATGGATCTCATAATTAATAATTATAAATTAAGTTTTACACGAGTACAATCTTATTTACATTTGTGAATGTATAATAAGTATATGAGATGTATATTATAAAATTATTGTAAATGAAAGTTCTGTATGAGTGGAAATAATAGACAGATAATGATCGCGACAGACGGCGACGCATCTCATTTCTGGATATGTATTGTAACGGCGGTTATCATAACCATATACTTTCGGAATAGTAAGGTCGTCATTCAAATTTGTGGATTTTTATGTAGAAAATCCTTATACATATCTAATTTCCGGAAAATAAATATATTATACATAACGAGTATTAATTGCGATTTTTACTGTAACTAGTATAATGTGAATTTATACAGAATACGTAAAACCCACTAGTTTAAGGATACGTAAGCAATAAAAAATGTTTTAAAAAAATATAAATTACTTATGATAGGAGCCAATTCCTTGATATCTTCTTCAACTATATACAATTATACAATATGTCAATAAGTGTTCTGTTAAAAACTACATGTTTGTATTTATATGTATTGTAAAAATAAGCGCATTTAATGTCGGCATTCGCCCTGTTTTATATTTATATAGAACGATTAATTAATGTTTGATTCTGATCAATTTATGAATAGTTTTTACAGTAGTTGTTGACATGAAAAGTAACAAGATTATGAACGATAAAACACGTTATAATTATGAATTAAGTTTTACACGAGTACAATCATATATACATTGGTGATTGTTTAATAAGTATATAAGATCTATATTATATAACTATTGTAGATTAAAGTTCTGTATGAGTGGAAATATTAGACTGGTAATGATCTCAACATACAGCGACGCATCTAATTTCTGGATATGTATTGTAACGGCGGTTATCATAACCATATAATTTCGGAATAGTAAGGTCGTCATTCAAATTCGTGGATTTTTATGTATAAAATCCTTATACATATCTAATTTTCCGCAATAAACATTTTATACTTCACGAGTATTAATTGCGATTTTTACTGTAACTAGTATAATGTGAATTTATACAGAATACGTAAAACCCACAAGTTTAAGCATACGTAAGCAATAAAAATGTTTTACAAAAATATAATTTACCTGTCGAAGAGTTGAATACCTTGTAACCTTCTATAACGAAATACAATTATAAAATATGTCAATAAATGTTCTGTAAAAAGCTACATGTTTGTATTTATATTTATTGTAACATAAGTGCATTTAATGTTGGCATTCGATATTTTTTAGACTTTTATAGAATGATTAATTAATGTTTGATTCTGATCAATTTATGAACAAGTTTTACAGTAGTTATTGACGGGGAAAGTAACAAGATTATGAACTATGGAACACGTTATAATTATTAATTAAGTTTTAAATGAGTACAATCATATTTACATTTGTGAATGTATAATAAGAATATGAGAAGTTTATTATATAACTATTGTAGACGAAAATTCTGTATGAGTGGAAATAATAGACAGATAATGATCGCGACAGACGGCGACGCATCTCATTTTTAGATATGTATTATAACAGCGGTTGTCATAATCCTACACTTTCAGAATCGTAAGGTCGTCATCCAAATTCGTGGATTTTTATGTAGAAAATCCTTATACATATCTAATTTCCGAAAAATAAATATATTATACCTAACGAGTATTAATTGCGATTTTTACTGTAACTAGTATAATGTGACTTTATACAGAATACGTAAACCCACAAGTTTAAGCATACATTAGCAATAAAAAATGTTTTACAAAAATATAATTTACCTAATGGAGAGTTGAATTTCTTGATATTATCTATAACAAAATACAATTATAAAATATGTCAATTAATGATCTATTAAAAACTACATGTTTATATTTATATATATTGTAATAGATAGTATATTTAATGTAGGAATTTGCTCTTTTAAGATTTTTATAGAACGATTAAATGTTTGATTTTGATCAATTTATGAACATTTTTTACAGTAGTAGTTGATGAGGATAGTAACAAGATTTTGAACGATGGAACACGTTATATTTATGAATTAAGTTTTACAAGAGTACAATAATATTTACATTGGTGAATGTTTAATAAGTATATGAGATGTATAATAAATAACTATTGTAAATAAAATTTCTGTATGAGTGGAAATAATAGACAGAAAAAGATCGTGACAGATGGCGACGAATCTCATTTCTGGATATGTATTATAACGGCGGTTATCGAAACCATAGTCTTTTAGTATAGTAAGGTCGTCAGATAAATTCGTGGATTTTTATGTATAAAATCCTTATACATATCTGATTTCCCGGAATCATGTCTTATTTATTATATTAAATATCACTATGTGCAAGTGATCGCCATAGCCGTTCGATACTACACTGTTTGAATATGTTATTCCATCGGTATATACATCACCTCTCCGTATAATATATATGTGTAAAATAACACGGTACGTAACATATATATGTATTGTAACAGGAGTGTATTTTATGTGGGCATTCGCTTTATTCTAGAATTTTATAGAACGATTAAATATCTGATTCTGATCAATTGTTGAACAATTTTTGTAACGTTTAACCAAAGCATGTAATCTAACCATAGTGACGAAAACTACAAAAGCATAACTGTTATAGTTGATTGATGTTTGAAAATATAATATTTTTTTTTAATTTAACCAGTCAATGCTGACAATGACTAAGTAATAAATAAAATGCCTACAATTGATAGACGA